TTCCTCTGTAAAATGGTAAAGATACAGAAATTCCTGCTTAAGTTTTGATGTTTTGATAAGACACTTCCTTCAAAGCAATTTTGTTACTGAATTTGACTTAATGTATAGCATAAAAAACAAATACTGGAGGATTCATTCAGCCTCATGGAGAACCTGGCATTGAAGGTGAAGTGAATTTTTGGTAAAGAGAGAGAGAGACAGGAGGAGAAAATGTGCATCTGTGCAGGTCACATGGGGGGCATTCTGACTGGGTGCATTTAAGCGAATAATGGCAAATACATTTGAAACACAGAGGAGAGCCAGTGGAGACCCTTGAATGTCAGACTAACAAACCACGGCTTGTAGGCAAGGGCGCTGAACTTCTATTTTTGCTCAAATAATTTTATAACTCCTGCACCTTTTGGTTTCCTTTAACTCAAATCAAGACTTTGGGTTGAAAGCTACATTGCTTTCAAATTAGATTCAACAGTGCTGTCTCGGTGAGCTTCGGTTGAGAACTATGGAAGGGCAGAGTAAAAAGACAAAAATGTTGATTAATAGGGGGGAAAACCATGATGCTAATAATAGCTGAATTTTCTTTTTCTCAAAATGCAGCATCTCGGTGCTGAGTTTTCTGCATGGCTTATCTCTTTTAACTTTTACAAGTGTGAATAATGGGAAAATGTGCTTGGCACTGTTGATATCCCCATTTTACAGATAAAGAAACCAAGGTTCAGAAAGTTTTAGTCACTTGTCCAAGGTCACACAGCCAGTAGGCAACAGACGCTGAGTTGAAACCTTAAGCTACTTGACTACAATGCTTATGTTTTAATTCCCTACTTTACACCATGTAGGATTCCGGAAATCTTGGTTCTTTAATTCCATTTCTACCACTAAATAGCAGGGGCAGGGTGGGGTTGCCATTAAGTGAGATGAGGAAGCTTGTGGATGACACAAGTAAGCATGCTGTTGCTTGTTGTTAGGTGTGAGAGAGGAGTTCAGTTTTGCACATGTTGGGCGAACCTTCAAATGGAGATGTCGAAATTCAAGTACCCATGTCAAGAGGCAGCTAGATACTTAAGGCTCGACTACAGGGGTGGATCTAGCCTACAGACATGAATTTGGGACTTGTCAGCAGATAGCTGTATTTAAACCCTTGGGACTGGGGGTGTCTCTATGGTAGTAAGTGTAGTCAGAGAAGATGTCTAGGAATTGAAGACTGGGGAACTCCACGGTTTGGAGGATAAGATCCAGCAAAGGAGATTAAAGAACTGCGGGCAGTGTGGGTGTGGTGAGGGACCAGGTGAAGAAGGGTGTCTGATGTGACTAGCAAGGCCAGTAGGACATGACTGAGACATCCGGGGTTTGGCGGCCATGGTGAGGGCCCTGGGGAGTTGCAACATCATGGCCACTTCGACAAGAACAGTTTTTGTGGAGGATAAAAGCGTTCAAGGGAGAAAAGGATACGAGGAAGCAAAAACATGGAGTATTTTTCTTAATATCTGTAGTCGGAATGAATTTGAGGATCGGTGTCATTTCTCACAATGTCCCTTTAAAAAATTACATCTCTTACTAGATGATATGATCTTTGAAGGACTAGAACGTGATTTATCTTTAAAATGCTTTGCCAAGTTTGGTGTTTAAATAATAATTGGGGAATTTAGTTAAACTTTTAAAGAAAGGCATATTCTTGTTTAAATCTCCTGAATCCGTGCTTGGTAACAGGTTAAGCCCCTCCCCCTCCCTCAACTCAAAGATGCTTCTGGAATTACTGGTTGACAACAGACATGCAGTGTTTTTTTTTTTAATGGATAAAGACCAAATTTTCATTATGTAACTTTTTTTTTTTTCTTTTTGCAATGACTCTCTTAAATGCATATCTTATAGCTCTGGTCCAATTGTTGAGGGGCTAGAAAAATTAAAAAAAAAAAAATCTCGTCCCTGCCAACATGTTGGTTTGTGTGAATCACAGCTCAGTGAAACCCTTCAGGCATATAATTTATCTTTTCTTTGGCTTATGTAGTAAATGCTTCATTTGTTCATGAATTCTGGCCTTGTTTTAATTATGCTATGCTCTGAATGTAGTTTTATGAGGCACAAAAATAAGATTGTCGTTCTGAAAACACAGAAGATTTGTGTGCTTCTCCCAGAATGAAATGGTGGCATCTTTCTCCCAATTCACAGCTCTGCAGGTTTGTGGTTGGAATTCCAATCCAAGAAGAAGCATGCAGTGAGACTGGGGGAAAGGGTTTGTGTGAGTGGGAGGGAAGGGGCAGCTGACACACGGCTGAGCCCAGCGCATAATCTACGCTAAGAATTCTGAATCAATACATTGACGGCCATTTCCGCATAATGCGGTACTCCCACCAAGAAAGCCACTGATGGAGAAGTTTTATTCGTGTTACTTGCTGAGGCCTGGATTCTCTCATTACACTCATGGAACAATTGATTTCTCCCCCTCCCCTGCCCAATACAGACCACTCAGCCAGGGATCGGATGAGAAACATCAATAATCAGAAGGCTGTTTTTGTTTAAAAGCTTTGCAGGTATATGTGTTTGAATATCCACAAGTTCACAGACTTACGGAGACAATAAATGGCTACTTCCTGGCTTTTCCATGTTTTATATGATATAGTACAGAATGGGTACTCAATATTCAGATTCCAGTGATACTACCAATAAAAGCATGGACATTTGTAGTGTAACAAAGACAAATGCAAACTTCACTGGTGAATCTAAGGGAGCGAACTCACTTTTTCCAAAAGGAGGATAAGTTACAACGTGGGGGTCTTCTGAGAGGTCCCGGTAACTTTAAAATATCGCCCAAGGGCTTGACTCTATCAGATACCTGCCATGCTCCCAACATAAGCCTCCATCTTCTGAGTCAAATCTCGTTTTAGAACTCATTCTACTCAAATTCAGGTGCCAGTCCTAAGATTCTTTAATAAAAAAAGCTGGGTTGATAAGGTACAGCTCTAAACTGTCCTGTGCTTTTCTTAGAATGGGAATGGATTGATTGCATTGGGGTTTTATGGTTAAAAACGTTCAAGGGTCAGGTCTCAGATGCTAACCTGTTTTTCTTAATTAAGGTGGGGGATCTGGATAAGTCACTAGATACCTGTCCCAAGATAGTAAAGCTCAGTCCTTCATCCTCTTCCCATAAATAACTCCATCTTTTCCTGACTCGGGTAATGGGTTGGCTTTGGATGCCCACGTGAATGGAACATGTAACTATTCACAAAGTTATAACCTCCCAATGGCCTCAGGATCCATGACCAATAATGAGAACTCAAGAGTTTCTGCTCAGAGTCAAGCAGTAAATAATTTCTCACATATTCATGAATATTGATGACCAGTTTCTAGCCCCAAGACAAGTAATTTTCCAGCTCCAGGTTTATACATTTGATGGAATGTTCCCCGAGCCAGCAAGGCCAATTCTCTTTGTGTCTGAGCATCTTCTGTGGCACTCGGCCTCCCCAAGGAGAGCACATGGCACCTCGCACAAGGATCTCAAGGGTTTTGTACCTCTTCTCTTGTAGAACCACAAAGTCCCTGAGGACAAGGGCTCTGTCCCGGCCACCTCTCTAGCCTGTCTCACTTGTACCTGGCAGTGTCATACCTAGTAAAGATGTGATGCCTGGATGCATTTGAAGACCTACTTTGAATTCTAAGGAAAGCTATTCAGTTGGCCCTGAACTGGTACATTCGGGGAAATGGGCATTTGAAGGACAATTTTTTAAACTTTTGAAAGAAAATCTGAAAATCAGTTCTTGGAGGAGAAATTTACAGAAACAGCAAGAATGCTGATAGTAGGAGCCTGAACACACAAGCCTGATTATCTTTCCCCAGTTTAACTGTCCAGAATGTTTAGCTGGTGACTAACATTTAAAATATAATTCTTGACACCATCCTGGGTGCATTGAAACCGTAGACTAACGTGATACTCATTTTCTTTAAGGAGAATAATCTATGTACAGTGTTTAGTACAGAGCCTGGTACACTGTAAGTGCTCAATAAATGACAGCCAGTGTTATTAGCAACAGGGAATGCAATTAGTTGTTATTAAGACAACTATATTAACAGCCATGATATAGAACCCTGTAATGAAAAACAGCTCCTCTAATTTTTTCCTGCTTCTAACCTCAACGACTAACTGCATTCCCAAATTTTGAAAAATACTGTTATTTAAAAGTCCAATGACTAAAAAAACAAGTACCTTAAAATACACTGTATCAACTCTTATATCCTTTTTCATTCGAGGAGTTCCTTTCTCGGCCCAAATACAAACAAACTCTCTCAAGATAAAAAGCCAATGCTCTTTTTTAAGATCAAAAGAATCTGCCTTTCTTTGTGCTGGGGTGGGGCGGGGGGGGAGGCGGGAAAGCGGCTGATTCCGGATACCTCCTGAAAAAAATATCTAGTTTTTACAAAGATATTACTCCAGCTTATTGGAAAATAATTAGTACATAAAAGAGTCTGCCCAGAGCTGTAAAAGCTCTTTATTTAAACCCACACTTTGGTGCAAAAGATAGTTAAAGATCAATCCAGGCTATTAAAAAGAAGAAATGAAATGTATTCCAACAAAAGCCTATAAACATACGGAATGGGGAACAACCTACTGAGACCAGACTGGGCAGTGAAGTCTTTTAGGGACCATTTTTATTCTGCTAACACCTTTCCCTCCAGACTCCATTGATCATAAATGCAACCTGTCTTCCTCCATCTTTTAATAAATGGAAGGACGAATTCATCTGTATGTAACTCACCTCCTCTCTTCTTTTACATAAAGCAGATGTCACAGCTGTTATTGCTCTTCAAACAGATGTTTCCACCCACAGAAACATGGGGGACACTCCACTACAATGTGCTATTTGTTCTAGAGGGGTCGACGGCTTGATGCCTTGTCAGGGCCCCTTGGTGACTGCCGAGCGATGTGGTGCCCTTGTCTTAGCCCCTCGGAGCCCCCCCTCCGTACCTCGAGCTGGGGTTCACAAAATGGATTGCCCTTGTCCAGCACTTACCCTCTCTGCAGGGACATCGTCGGACGGCCTGGACAATCCGGAAACTTCCTGGGCCTGGTCTTGACGCTCTGTGCCCTTGGCTTCCCGGTGGCTGTTGACTGGTGCCTTTTCCCGTCCCTTGTCCAGTTTGAAGAGTTTGTCCAAAAAGCTGGCGTCCTTAGGCTTGGAGGAGGCCGCTCCTCCTGACTCAGGTGAGACAGGCGCTTGTCCCCAAGGGGCAGAGAAGCCTCCGTCCCCCGCCAGGCTCTGGCCTGGGGTTTTATGTGGGTCGTGGCCCAGCGCAGCTGCTATCGGAAGCGCCACACTCTCACTTGGTTCTTTGTTCCCTAGAGTGTTACTGGAGCTGACATCAAGCTTCGCTGATCCAGTGGATGAATCCGTGGCTTGGTCTCCAGTACGTCCTGGTACAGGCCGAGAGAGTGTCAAGAAAAAACGAGATTTAGCAGCTGGTGCCTCGGGTTTGGCCTCTTTCCCAAGATTCTTTCCGTTGGCATCTGCAACAGCGCTGATCTCCATTGTCTTGGGGGAAGAAGTGGCCACATTATCCTCCTTGACACTTATTCCCAAGTCGACTGTAAACACAAACATAAACAGCTCTGTCTTACCAACCCGGCGAGGAAATTCAAGGAAGGATAATGGACTCTGAACGTTTTATACACAGAGGCCATGATGAAGCGGGGGCTCTGTTGTTGTCCACTCACTCTGTGAGGCAGAACTTGGTTCTCTAGAACTCCTCTGACCCTGCTCTTCTGGGGAGAGAGGAATGGGGGGGGGTAAGGGAGGAGGGCAGCCAGTTGGCGGAAGGCACATCCCAGGTGTTGTCCTAGTGACTCGTATTACTTCTCCAGTGGTAGCTTTGGAGGAATCTCATGAGAAGCAAATTGTCATGATTTCATCGGGGAGGCAGCAGTGGTCAGGAGCTTGGGCTCTGGAGCTAGAACAAGGTTTCTCCACCTCGGGACTATTGACATTTGGGGCCAGATCATTCTTTGCTATGGGTGGTTGGCAGCGTCCCTGGCCTCAGCCCAGTAGATGCCAGTACCCTCCCCACCCCCCAGTTGTGACAATCCAAAATGCCTCCAGACATTGCCCTATGCGGGGGCAAAAATCACTCACATATGAGAACCACTGAGCTAAACTGTCTTTTGGAATCTGAGTTACTTAACTGTCCTGTGCCTCAATTTTCTGGCAAAGTGAGGCAAATGGTAGAACTTACCTCCTAATGTTGTGATGCAGATCACATGACAGACAGAACAGTGCCTGATGCACGTTCGTTGTTATCATTATCCGCAAGTGAGAAAAGTGGCTGCCACAGGGGTTGGTCCACGTCCCCACAGCTGCCTGGTGAGCAGCTAAGTCGCAGAGTCTGGTTATGGGCAGAGACTCGACTCTGACATTTGTGCTCTGTCTTAGCATCAGGCCTGTGTTAGCCTAAGCTCGTGGAAGATTTTAAAAAGTAGTACTCAGAAAGTTTCCATGTTGAAGGCTGGAAGGGCAAGCGTCCACACAGGGCCACAAATTGGACCTCCGACCAGCATGGAATCAGAGACATAGGTTAGTCTGCGTGTGGACGTGGGCTCGGCCTCCTCCTCCAGGGAGGAACACTGCTTCCAGCATCCAGCTGTTCCGGGTTTGACCTCGGCATGGGTCTCACTGAACTGCTTTCTTTCCTAGGTGCCTTTTATAAAGCAATGCAATATTCAAGAAAAAAGGAGAGACCATGAATTTTGGAATGAAAGCTAAAGAATCAAGATTCTCTGGTGATAAACTGTGTGACCTTGGTCAAGTCACGGAAAAATCTGCATTTCCTCGTACATAAGATGGGAATGGTATCATTGCAGCATTACTGGGATGTTTAAGGGAGAAGACATATGCAACGACTTTGGCACACTGTCTTCTCTGTAGTAGGTGTTTAAGAATTGACAGATACTATGATTTAAGGATTCTCCCACCCCTTTGCCAGCATTGTGTTTTGCTTTATACAGCTGTGGCCAGTCACTTTTATTTTCTTATTTTTATTTTTTAAAGATTTTGTTTATTTCTTTATTTGAGAGAGAGAGAGCAGAGAGAGTAAGCACGAGAGGTGGGGAGGGGCAGAGGGAGAGGGAGAAGCAGGCTCTCTGCTGAGCAGGGAGCCCATGCAGGACTCGATCCCAGGACCCCGGGATCATGACCTGAGCCGAAGGCAGACGGTTCACCGACTGAGCCACCCAGGCGCCCCGTAGCCAGATCACTTTTACAATATGTTTGCAGGAAGACAGAGAAAAGGACAAAAAGAGAAAGGGGAGAATCTTTTGGTCTGCTCATATTGCTCATTAATATGTGTGAGAAACACACACACACAGGTACACACTTTTATTAGCAATTGTTTTTGCCCAACTCTGGTATCTCTCAGTGTCTAGAGTCAGGACCAAACAAAAAGGAGAGAGAGAAAGGGAGAGCCGGGTCTCTATGTAGAATGCTAATTGCTGAGGAGCACAGAAGAGATGGTCCAGAGGCCAGTGACAAGCACTAGGGGTTCCTCACAATCTCAGATCCCAAGGAAGTCACCCTGTAGGAGCACTGGGTATGTCCTCTAGCTCTTCTTCTTCTCTAGCTTTTCCTGTGCTCTAGGAATTCATAATCGTGGTAAACACTGTACTCAGGGAGAGAAGGCTGGAGGGAGAGTGTGAATAAGGAAGTGATAGATGGACGTGTCAGGGTGCCAAGTAAGCCGGGCAGGCAGCTGATGCATCACAGTGAATATAAATGAATCATGGGGACGGTCTATGCCAGGAGAAGAGGAAACAGTTGACAAAAAGGCAGAGACTGAGATTCAAAACAAGGAAGGGCTTTTCAAAATGCCGAGAGCATCAGCCAATCTCTTTCCCTTTTTCCTCTCTTCCTTACTCTCCAGCCAGGAACCGAAAGAGCTGGTGGTAAGTAAGAGTGTTACACTCAGAGAAAAAGTCTTTAGGAAAAAAAAATCTTCCCAAAGACAGACTTTTTAAAAATTGAGTTATATTAGTTTCAGGTGTACAATGCAGTAATAATCCGATACTGGTATGCACTATGAAGTGATCACCACAGGTTACCATCTGTCACCATGCAGTTGACCCCCTTCACCCAACTGAACCCCCTCCCAACCCTCTTGATTCCTCTGATAACCACCTGTTATCTGTATCTGTTCTCTGTATCTCCAAGTCTTGTTTTGTTTGTTCATTTGTTTTGTTTTTTACATTCCACATACACGTGAAACCATATGGCATTTGTCCCTGTCTGACTTATTTCACTTAGCATCATATCTTTAAAGTCCATTCACGTTTTTGCAAATGGCCAGATTTTCTTCTTTTTTTCTGGCCAAGTAGTATTCCCTCCAACACCTGTTATTTCTTGTTGGTTTTTTTTTTTTTCATAGTAGCCATTCTGACAGGTGTGAGGTGATATCTTAGTGTGGTTTTTATTTGAATTTCCCTAATAATTAGTGATGTTGAACATCTTTTCATGTACCTGTTGGCCATCTGTGTGTCTTCCTTGGAAAATGTCTATTTAGATTCTCTGTCCATTTTTAAATCAGATTTTTTTTTTTGCTATTGAGTTCTTTATACATTTTGGATATTAATCCCTTATTGAATAAATGATTTACAAATATTTTCTTCTATTCAGTGGGTTGCTTTTTCATTGTGTTGATGACTTCCTTTGTTGTGCAGAAGCTTTTTAGTTTGATGTAGTCCCTAGACAGACTTGTTAAAAAGTGCCAATATATTGCTTTAATAAAGGATACATTCTTGTCATCCAGGTATCTAGACTAGCCCTCAATGCATTTAGAAATTACAGCAGATGCAAACTTTAGCTCTTGATATTAGCGAATGAGGAAAGTATTTTTGATAACTTGTAAGAATGAGGACTTCCTAGATGGAACATTCCATAAGAATGAAGGTCTGCCCCCCAAACTTGAGTGAGTGCATCACCCAGAGCTTCCATTTCCTTTACTAAAATGCTTATCTCCTCCTAAAATGATCTAAGCTAGACTACTCCTGTGGCTTTTGCTGAACCCATTAGAACAGAGTTACGTTCTTTATGCTTGGATTGGCAAACCAGTGGGGGTACATCTGTAAGTGGTGGCCTTGGGCATCACATTCACAAGTGCCTGCCTCAGAACAAACTCAGATGAAAGCAGAGCCAAAAGATTCAGGGAACAAATGCCCAGTGATAGAATTTGAATGCCTGGATCCAACTATGCCTGAAGATGAAATTTACCATTTACCATTACATTACCATTACCATTTTTTTTTCACTCATGCCAGCTTAAATTAAGTACATACTCAGTGGCTTGGAGAGAATTTCACGGAATTGGCCAGTACCATTTCACTTGTCAAGTAATAGCAAACAATCCTCTTCCTGGGAAGTTGTCTCTAAGCTCTTCAAGTCTGTCCAGGAAGCAGTTAGTATGGGAGGAAGGAAGGTAAAGAGAATGAAACAGGAGGAAGTAAGTTACAAGGAGCTGGATAGAGACGCCACCAACCCTTTGTCTTTGCAGTAAAAGCGAAGGGAAAAAATCCACTTCAGGAAAGAAATTACCACTTTTGAGATCTCTGATGAACATTGGAAACAAAATATGTCCTAAAACATCGATTTAAGTGCACGTGCATGCGCGCGCGCACACACACACACATGCACACACTGACACTCACACACATCCAATCTGTGAATGAATAGGAAGAAAACCCACTGGAGTTACAAGCTTTATACTCTTGCAAAGATGAATATTGTTTACATGCCTTCCTCACATTATTATGGAAAGAATTAAGAAGTTCCTTCAGGACGACGGGAACCAAGCTTTCAATTCCTATAAGCAATCTTGAGAGAGGCTCATCTTGAATCTGGTTTCAATAAAGAGTTTTCTCATAAAGCAGACAAACAGATGACATACCAAAGAGATTTTACTTTCCATGAAAAAAAAAATGTGTAAGAGTTTAAGGGAGATAAAAAGGAATCAAGTAAGAATGCAGATGACAGCCCTCAAATATCTAGAAGAGTTGAACATTTTGATCTTCTTAGTGCAGAAAATATATTTGGTATTATGTGCTTTTTAAAAGAAAGTCATTGTAGGCAGACATTGGATTGAGAACTTATTTCCAGTGGCATTTTGGTGTCATTGTTAAGAACTTCGATTCTGGAGCCGAGAACCTCGGTTTGACTCTCCAATATGAAATACAGATGGTCCTCGGCTTACAGTGCTGGGACTTGTGTTTTTCGGTTTTACAAAACTGATACTCATTCAGCAGAAACTGTACTTGGGGTTCTGATTTGGATCTTTTCCTGGGTTAGCGATAGGCAGGGCGACCCCCTCTGGTGATGCTGGGTAGTGGCAGGTCCCAGTCAACCAGGTGATCATGAACGTGTGCACTGACAACCCTTACGGCCAGCCTGTCTTTCCCTTTCAGTGCAATATTCAGTACATTTCATATACATGCCATACTCAACACTTTATTACCAAATAGGCTTTGTGTTAGATGATGTTACCCAACTGTAGGCTAATGGAAGTGCTCTGACCATGTTTAAGGGAGGCTAGACTAAGTTATGATGCTTGGTAGGTTAGGTATAGTAAATACATTTTTTTT